CAGAGGGCTAAAGGGCAGTACATCAGAGGGAAAAGTGACGCAATGACACGTGTTACAGCACAGTCAGGCACACTTCATTCAGGACCATCGCCCTAAGTATAGAGACCACTGAAAGGGGACTCTGCAGCGGGGAGAGAGACTGGACTCAACCCGAGATACAACCTGGGTAGGCAGGAGTTTATAGCCAAGGAGCAGGGTGGGGGCAGGGGATGTGACTGTACTAAGGGAAAACATCAGGTGTGAAGGGGATTCTGGTTAAACCCACCTAACAGGATTCTTCTGAGCACAGGACAGGGTGACCAACACCACCTGGCAGGTGGTGGAGGGTGAGGAACCTGACCAGGTAAGATGGAAACCGCCTTTGCAAAATTATGACTGAGGCAGTGAAGGAGATCTAACCTAACCAAATCCATCTTGCTTCTAACCTTTAAGCTGTCCTTGTTCCTTCCTGGGCATATGCTGAACTAACTTTGGTAAGAACTTAGGAGACTAGTCTGCCTTTACAAGACTAACAAATTAGCCACAAGATTAGAAATTATGGTGTAAGAGTCATGCAGCTGGAGGCTACAAGATTCTGACCCTCCCTAAACTGCTCTAAGAACAGCGCTTGAGATATTTTGCAGACCGTGCACTTGATGGATCACCCAGCACCACCCAGATCCATAACCTGGCTCATCTGATCTTGTGGCCCCCACCCAGGAACTGACTCAGCACAAGAGGACAGCTTCAACTTCCCAGATTTCATCTCCGACTCAACCAATCAGCACTCTCAATTGACTGGCTTCCCCCACTCACCACATTATCCTTAAAAACTCTGCTCCCCGCATGCTCAGGGAGACTGATTTGAGTAATAAAACTCTGGTCTCCCATACAGCCAGCTCTGCATGATTACTCTTTCTCTATTGCAATTCCTCTGTCTTGATAAATCGGCTCTGTGCAGGCAGCGGGCAAAGGGAACCCACTGGGTGGTTACATAAAGGGTGATCAGGTATTGAGGGTGGCAGGTCCTTGCTAAAACTGGATTTTACCAGGAAGTGCACAGATGGGCCTTGGAGAAGGTTTAGGAGCTTCAGTCTGCTCAAGCAGAGGAGCTTTCAGTGCCACACGGCAGCCACCTCACAGCTGCCACAGTTCTTGTGGGCAGTGGATGCCTCTCTCAGATGCCCAAGACTGTGCCCCCCTTTCTGGGAACCTCCTGCTTCCTCTCCCTTCCAGTGGGTTCCACAAGAACCTCCCAGGTGGTACCTGCCACCTCCCCGGCCAGGTCATGTATCCGCCCAGCTGGGACCAACCACAGGGCTTCAGGGTGGTTATCAAAGGGATGACGATGGAGCAGACCCACAGGGGTGAGGAAGGTGAAGGCTACAGAGGGGACCCACGGTGGATCCCCTTGTCAGCAGCTCTCATGAACTGCTGCAGAATTCCTCCACTCAGGCCACGAGTTCCTGCTGAAGCAGCTCAACTCCCTGCCTTCCCCACGCAGAGGCTTCTTCCATTCCTCGTCCAAGGTGCAGAAAGACAAGACCCATGCCCCTCATTTCAAGGCCCTCTCCTGACTGTGGGCGTTAGTCCCAAATTAGCAATGCCCCAGGCTTCCAGAGCCACTTCCCGAACCCCAGCAGGCTGCCTCCAATTGGGGCTCTGTCAATGCAGAAAAGGAGCTCACATCTCCAAAAGGCAGGATGGCCTGCAGAGCTTGGCTTTGAACAAACATAGCTGGCAGCACACGCCTGCCATCCTCCAGGCTGGGAGGTCAGGGCTGTGCTGAGGCAGCTGTCACGTGGGCACACACCTGAGCGGCCTCCAGAACCAGGGGGAAGGTGCCGCCATTTGCATCACACTACAACCCTAAGCAGGCTCTTCTCTGGAAGAACAGGCACGTCCCCGGGTAGTTCCCAGCTTGCAGTTGAAAAAGAAAGTGCTTTTGATTGTTTCCTTTTAAACTCCAATTCACAGCGCCGACCAGCTGTGATAGCTCCAATTACAGGTTCAAAGATTTCTGGGCCACCAAGCAGCTTTCTATTCTGGCTCCAGATGGAAGTGCCAGCAGCACACCCCCGCCCCCCAGCCCCGCCATGCACAGGCGCAGAAACCACACTGGAATGTGACATCCAGGGGCTCGCTGGCAAGAGACTGGCCCCTCCTGCTCCCCACGAGGTCAGCGGCGGCGTCAGGCCCATCCTCTTCCCACCCCTGGGAGTCCCTGCCCTTCAAACTTTGCTCCCACATGGCCTCCTGTCGTGGAGCTTTCATATTTCCCCAGATAAATGCCACACACAGCTGGGTCTCCGTGGAAGTCGAGTCCTGAACCATCACCCCGGTCCCCAGAGGCCCTTCCAGGGCCCTGTCCACCTTCCCACTGGCTCCAGGATCAGTGACCAGGGAAGTGCTCCCCATCAGGAGACCAGGTCCTGCTCCTCCTGAGGCCACGTGTCCCCGAGGGGCAACCTGAGCTTGTGGGGAAACCCAAGGTCAAGGAGCTGCCCTGGGGAACCACCCTAGGAGGAGCCACTCTGAGGGAGATGTCCTGGGAACCACCCTAGTGTCAGAGGTGTTCCAACCAGAGAGACTCCATTTTGAGTGCGGGCTAAGAAAATGAGGCTGAGACTTGCTCGAGGTCAAGA